GAAAGGACACTTCATTTGAAGGTACCCTCCCATTTTACATCTCTGACAAATTTGGTTGAAAGGAGGCAAGTATAGAAAGGTTAAGTAGACGTGTTGCAAAGTGCTGTAACAGTAATCAATGTCTTGTCTCTCTGACTGTAATCAATGAATTATGTGTACACAAAACTAGTTGACAGGCTTTATACAATTAAGTCACAGTTCCCTAATGCTCCAGAGTATATAAAGCATAGATCAGTTTGTTGAAACTGTTAGTTCACCAAAAGGGAGCCCAGGCACTTAACCAATCTCAATAGGCCTTTATTGTGAGTATATTAGAATGCAATCAACATTATTGCTATTATAAAACAAACCATAAAAGAAAATACCTTGCTTCTCTCATGGAAGATTAAGGAGCTCAGTGCTGCCTCTCGCAGACCTTTCAGTGACAATGCATTGAGAGGCACTAACTGAATGGAGACGGTTGTGAGCAAGTCTAAAAAAGACTGAGTAGGTGTTTAATCACTTAATTTGCATTAGACTAGATTTTAGTTAATCAACCAATCCCTAGAAAACTGTGTTAACTCATCTACCGTTAATAGCATCCCAAATGCACATACACTCTGTCTTGATTATATGGCATGTTTTGGAAGTTTATTATATTCATGTTTTCTGCACTATTTCATTTTCTCTATGTACATTTCACATTTTTCCAGTAGTTATGAGTTGCCCAGGCTGGTGCAGAACGTCTGCCAGACAAACACTCTTTTCTTTATTCTAGTGTATTTTCACCATTGTCAAGTGCTCCATACCTATTCTCCAAGTATAACAAATACACACAGTGTATATAATGCTTATTGCTAAAGACACCACTCCCATCCCCAGTGCTTGGGACACCACATAGCATAACAAAACCATTTTTAAATATACATGAAAGCATTGTCACACAAATCACCCTTGTTAAAGTGATCAACTAAACCCATTACATGGTGACTCAACACAAAAGAAAAAAGGTAAAATAAAATACAGGAGCAATGGTCATCCCCAAAATAAAAAAAACCTCTTGACTTTAACAAATGCTCTCTAAAAGGAGGGAACATCCTGAAAGATTTCACAAGGCGTCAAGTGGGGGCGGGGTAGAAAAGAGGTTCCATGTTTGGGACTCGCCCCAGCAAAGGTACATTGTGGTATGAGGGTAGGATCACTACAGGCAAGTGTGTGAGAACTTATATACCCATCAGGACCGGCAATAAAGTTAAGGCTGCCCAGCATTTCCAATTATAAAGACCTATTTTCAGTTGCTTATAACTGCAAACTTTAACCATCCAGGCTGAAATTCTCCATGCCAGGGGTCTGTCTGCCTCAGGCTGATTTTTTTAAACCTTTCATCAAAATAGTTGTTGTTTCTGAGATCAAAGTTACATGAAATATTATTTTCTCATGTTAAAAAATCCTTATAGTAGTTTAGTTGAGAAGCTCTAGAGCAGTGGTGGGCAATCTGCGGCCCGGCCGCTGCTTCCCGCAGCTCCCATTGGCTGGGAACAGCAAACCGCGGCCACTGGGAGCTGCAGGCGGCCATGCCTGTGGACGGTCTATGTAAACAAACTGTCTCGCAGCCTGCCAGTGGATTACCCTGACAGGCCGCAGGTTGCCCACCACTGCTCTAGAGCTTCTATGCCTTGGAGCAAGGGATAGGAATTTGGCAAGGGAGGGGTGTCAGAAAGATGTTTATTGCAGTGAAAATCCATCCAAATTTGGCCAAATTACAAGCCTCTGAAAGTCACCCTGTGCATGTGCTCAGCAGAGGTTTATTAGAGACCTACCTAACAATAATCTCAGAAGATTCTGTTTACACTGTGCATACTCCACCTTTCCGAGCTCACTGAGCATGCTCCAGCCCAAGGCTGCAGGGGCGGAGCAGAACTTTCCCTACAATTGCCTCCCGCCTCCCCTCTGGGCACCAGAACAAAACATGGAAACCCTCTCTCCAGTGTTTTAAATCGTTTCCCAGGTGACACCCAGGCAACAGAGCCTAACTCGACTGCACAAGGCTGAGGAGCTGAGGGGTCGCAGGGGCAAGCGGAGGGGAAACGGGTGTAAGCTAGAGGATGGACAGGAGCACAGAAACAAGATAACAAGGGGAGATGCTAACAGATGAGCAAAAAGGGTCAAGCTGGGAAGTGGGGGAAAGTGGCAGAAGAGGCTGTATCCACTTGAGAATGCTCCCCTCTAAACTGTAAAACAGAACACAGGGACTGAGGCCTTGGCTACACTCAGGACTTCCCAGCGCTGCCGCAGCAGCGCTGTGAAGCGCAAGTGTAGTCGCGCCACCAGCGCTGCGAGAGCTCTCTCGCAGCGCTGTAAGTACTCCACCTCTCCGAGGGGAATAGCTTGCAGCGCTGCGAGCGAGCGTGCAGCGCTGCAGGCTCTGATTACACTGGCGCTTTACAGTGCTGTACTCGCTGCGCTCGGGGGGGGTGTTTTCACACCCCTGAGCGCAGCAAGTTGCAGCGCTGTACAGCACCAGTGTAGCCAAGGCTTGAGTCCCAACATTTGCTGTCTAGCAAATGCCCGTGAAACCCATTTGCAAAGTCTCTCATCTTCCTTAGCAGCTGGTTCAGAGAGGCTAACAGCCAACTACTATTAGTCGTTACGCTATCAGCTCAAGTGGCAGAAGTCTGCTGTGGATTTAAAGGCTCCAACACTGCTGAGTAGCCCTGGGTGTGTCACAGTATGGCTCTGTATGATGGAATTCCTTTTTGTTTTTTTCCTCCTTGTTTGCTTTTTTAAAAAACCTTAAATTAAGTTAAAAAATGACATTAAAAGAACACTATAAAAGATGGCAAAGTCAAGCATCCTGAAGTTAGGAAACGGCAGAATTAAGCTTGTGTAACCTTAATTTGGCCCCTTTGTGCACATGCATTGCGATACAGTCTTTAGTTACGGCATCACCTACTATTTTTTCCCCAGCACTTCTGCCTTGTTCAGTGCACAGCTCAGATGGTGCGTTGGGAATGAATCAGTTGTGTAGTGAATGAGGCAGTTGTTTGTAAGATGCCTGCCTCATTTGTTGAGGAAGCTGGAAGGCATGTGGCGAATGAGGCAAAGGACTGCAGGATGGGAAAGGATAGTCTTATGATCAAGACAGTTCTGAGAATTGGAACCTATCCCTGCTTCTGCCGCAGAGTTCCTATGTCACTTCAACCAAAATTCACAGGTGGCCACTAATTGGGTTTCTAGGTGCCCACCAGGGAACATCTGGGGGCCAATAATAATAATAAATGGAGATATACCTATCTCATAGAACTGGAAGGGACCCTGAAAGGTCACCGAGTCCAGCCTCCTGCCTTCACTAGCAGGAACAAGTACTGATTTTTGCCCCAGATCCTTAAGTGGCCCCCTTAAGGATTGAACTCACAACCCTAGGTTTAGCAGGCCAATGCTCAAACCACTGAGCACTTACAACCATAACTGAAGTCAGTGCATGCACTGACCATATAAAGTGCTATAAAAATGCTCTGAAAAAAATCAGGCCCCAAGTGTTTCACAAGTTGGGCGCCTGACAATTTTAGCCTTAATCTCTCTACTACTCAGTTTCACATCTTTAAAGTGGGGTTGATGATACCAAGTTACCTTAAAGTTTGTGAAGCATTCTGACACAACAGCAATGTGTGTCATAGAAAAGCTCATGAAGAAATGAATAATTCTGTACGCAGTGCAGGGTTTAAATGGTATGTGGTAAATATTATGCATTTGGCTACCAAATGAACGAGGATAAACAGAAATATTGAAAAGTTACTCATTCAGGGGCATTACCTATCCTGTGCATTGAAAGAGGCAGGGTCCTGTGGGGTTAAAAAAAAGTGACACCTTGCAAGTTAAAAGACTAACACAATGCATATGGCAGAAGAAGACTGAATTGCATAGGCAACCTTAATTCAGACATTGCCTAACTTTTGATTACTTAACTTTGAAATCATACAATACTTGACAGTAGTTTTTTATATGTAATATATATTTAAAAGTGTAGGCCCTGGCTACATCAGTGACCACCTCCGGGTCCGCAGCTCATACAACATCCACCTTTTAGGGATAATATTCTCACATCTCATTATAACTTTGCTGTGATGGGCCCAAAGCATGGAACCTCCTTCCCACAACTTTAAATCTCAGTCCATTACATTTACAGTTATATGGTATCACAAACATGCATACACACATTGTATAACATAGCACTAGTATGTACTGTATATATTATGTAAATACTATATACTTCATTTCAAATTGTGTATTAAGATTTACATTTTATTCTATACAGTACACACAGTACCACATTTAAGGATATGCAGCAAGTGAATAATATACAACAGTATCTTGCATATCCAAAGAGCAAGTAGATCACTTTCAACAGCTGTTAATACTGTGAAATGTGTCTTAAGTAGTCATTTAAGCATCAAATTATACTGTATAAAACATAAGGGTATTTTGTTAAACGTAATAGTGGTTGCCATAAAAAATAGTCAACATTTCTTGAAAGATTCCTCAGTTACTGTATTTCCTCTTTAAATTATGGAGGTGACAATCCCTGCTATATAATTAAGATTGAATTGCGTTTTGGAATTAAGACAGAGCTGTAATATCTCTGATACAATGGTGTGGTAACTGCTGTTGAAGAGACCTTTTAAATAGGTATCATTCTATAACTGATGTTGACACATTTGCTTTAGAGTTAAAATATTAATTGCATTAACTTACTTCAGACATGACAGATAAATTAGAGACTTTAGTGTAGGCATTTTTCAATAAGCACCCGGGCATGCTACTTTCTCTCTCAATAATGGTTTTATGATGAAAGTTCAAAACACTAGTTTCAACATCTTTTGTACACAATCCATCTTTGGCACATTTTTCGACTGTCTGAATCCTCAACAGGCATTCAAAAAATTCGAGTTTTTTATGGTCTGTACATTATTTTAATCACTTTTTTACATTTCTGTATAGGACAGGAAGAAAAGTGGAAAATGTAGAGTATGCAGAATAGTTTTAATAAACAGTTTTACATACAGTACCTTACATATAGAACAGTGTGTTTGCAAATTTAAATAATTTTTGAATGTACAGTGGCTTGTACTCTTATCAAAAGGTAAATTCAAGTTTACTGTCTATCGGTTCTAAAATGCATTTATACAGAAAACTAGAACTGATAAACAGTTGTGAGGCATAAAATGTTCAAGTATCTTATGTCATCAATTAAATAGCCTCCTTTTAACAGTCATATTTTACAAATTCCAAAACCTGTACATACATTATTTTCAATTTTATAAACTGCTTGTTAAAAGGTAACATTTCATGTTAACCACCAGTTCTTATAGTCTATAGTAATAAAACTAGACATGTGTAGATATAAATATGTATATAGTACGTACATATGAATGTGTGTGTATATACACTTATACCTACACATACATATGTAGCACTGGGTGCAGTGACAACTTACATGAGCACAGGCAAAGAGAAGGTCCTGAGCTCAAAATCCAGCAAGAGCTAACAGAGCAACTAGGTTGCCTTTGGTTTCATGATGTTTTACTCACGTATGACTGAAGCTAAAAGTTTTATAAAAACATCTTAGATAATGTATCTTTGCGATATTCAATCTAGTGGTTTAGTAATTCACAGCCACAAACAAGCAATTTTTCTGCTCTTGTCATTCCTCATCCCAGATGAGGTTGGTAAAGATTCAGAGGGCTAACGCCAAGCTGAACTACCCAGGACAAAAATGTACTTTGAATCCTGAATACTGCAATAGAACGTAAAAAAATATAAACTAGATACAATTTTGGATGGATTGCTGGCACCAGGTAGAACTTTGAAAAAAAACTCTTCAGGTATTTCACTATCTTCAAACTGTCATCCCAGTGGTTTTAGTATTATTTGGCACATCTGACCACTGTTTGCCACTTACGTTTTTAAAAGAGCCTAAGGGTGCTGTAATGAGGATTTCCATTTAAAAAAAATATAAGGAGACCACCACATACTGTTTCTTTCAAAAGTGAAGCAAATGTTTTCATTTTCCTGAATAACACTAATTAGACGAGAAATAGTTCCTGGGCTGCAAAAGATCAGTTACCTGCCTAAAACTTTGGGGGTGGACCAACTGTAGAGAGGATATGGATCTCTCTGTGTCTGTATTTTCACTAGCAATGGGAGAAAAAAAAATAATTACGGATGTATGTTTTTCCCACTGACGTTTTAGAGTTTGGCTCTTTCTGCTACTGACTATAAAAGTATAGCATTTTCCATTGCAGAGATTTCTTGAACCTTCTTGTATGACCTGAAGGAGAAATTCTGCCACTTCAATGTTCCTCAATATGTGACATATTGTAATTTGCATCTTGAACATAGCGTATTCAGCTTTTCAGTGTCAATTTCCTTACTCTAGATTTCCTTTCCTTTCTCCAAAGCGTCAGGCTAAAAATGTAATCAGCACAGAACCAGACAAATATCCAGCTTTTTGCTGTCCTCCTGCCAGTCTTGTGGCTAATAAGAAAATTCACTGTAGAGAGCCTATTTTTATTCCTTTATTCTTCCTTTTGTCATACAGAGCATAGCGTGGCTATTTGTTGTACTTTCCCCATGTCAATTAAGAGCTGTTTGATACGTCGCTTGAGTTGAGGCAGTCTTGCAAGAGGCTCTGGCGGTTCCAGCTCTCCAGTGAAGTCAAGCCAGCTTTCTAAAACTACATCGAGAAAAATGTAAAGAAGAGTTTGATTAGAAAGGGATCTTCGGAAAAAGAGTGCTCAACCGTCCAAAGCTAGGTGTGTTGAAATGCAGTAAGGGCCATATCTTAGTGCCATTGAAGTCAGTAGCAAAATACTTGAGGACTTCAACCTGACTAGGATTTGGTCCTAACTTGTCAACCGAAATTTAAATGGCTATTGTGCCCCACCCATGGCTCCATGCAAACCAGGTGTGAGACTGCCAATGATGCACCTCAGAATATTTCATGGCCAAATTCACTGCCCAGATGAAGAGCAGCCGATCATAAAAATTCAGAATACTTACACTATTTGTTGCAAGACGTTTTGTATTTGGGTTTTTAGGCTCATACCCTTTCCAAACCTACTTCTCCCGTATGCTATTGAACATGGACCAGCACCTATCCTTGTAAATGCTGCCAACTTGCCAAGCCTGAGGGCAGCAGGTAATTTGCATAAAATGGAGCATGCCTCTGCCATATGAATCATTAATATGAAGGTGCAACTTACAGATACTCAGATCATTATTTAAATGAAGATATATTTTCTGAAGAACGAAATAATTCAGTGCTCCATGGAAATTTTTATTCTTTTAAGCAGTTCAAAGTGGTCCCCCTTATTAATCCTTCCAATTGCCCTGATAGCTAAATTCCAGTAATATAAAGGTACGTTAGGACAAATTAGCCAACAATGTGTTGATGATACACATACAAAGAAGAGACTCCAGCTCACTGTCTCAGTTGTCACGGTTCTGCGGTAGTAAAAACTCAACAGGAATAAAAGGCTGTGAAGACTCACTTCTGTCACTAACTTTAACGTATCACTAAACAAAAACAGGGAGCAGGTGATATAATGTGGTTCCATTTTTAGACAGCCACTTTCAGAATGGAATCACACTAACTTCTGAGTGAATTTCAGTGCTCATAAAAAAGAGGGATGGCAAGAGTCTAATCCCATGTTTCTGGAAACATGGTCAATGTACATGCAAACTGATCATAAACATTCCATCAGGGCTAACACTATTTTGTTTTAGGTAAGAAATAGTTAAGGACACAATAACTACACTTTGTTCAAACTCTCTTCATTTGTGAAGTGAGACTCTACATGTGAAAACTAGGGCTGTCAAGCGATTAAAAAAATTAATAGCGATTAATCGCAATTTTAATCGCACTGTTAAACAATAATAGAATACCATTTATTTAAAATTTTTGGATGTTTTCTATATTTTCAAATATAGCCTAGGGGCTCAGAGCTTCAGACTCTGCTGCCACGCCCGGAGCTCTGGGCTGGGGCTTCACCCTCCCACCCCGCCCAGAGGTATGCAATTAACGCGTTAAAAAAATGAACAGGTTAATTTTGTTTTCAGTTAACTGCAGGCGTTAACGGCAATTAATTTACAGCCGAATGCATTCATTCTACTACAACACGTAGTTCTACTGCATAATCGTTGTGCGAATTTGTTGTTATGAAGCCTGGTCTGCCGCCTTAATCCAGGCTATTACCAGTTAGTTTGTAAACCACAGCTGAAGATGAAGACTTCTTTTCTCCTCCTCAGGTAACTGATTGATACTATTGCCCAAACAAATACTATCAATTTCAGGAGATGCTGTGGATTAGTAGGCAGAGCATGGGAGCAGGAGCCTGCTACTTCATGGTCTCACTGTGTGGCCTTGGGCAAGCCATGCTGGCCCATGTTTTTGAATGACTGCTAATGCTGCATGCCTAGGCTTGACTTCAGACATTCTGAATACTCATTATCTCAGTGGATGTTGCAGAGGCGCAGTATCTCTGAAAAATCAGACTCTGGGTGTCCCAGAACACCCAAAATTATAAATACCTTTGAAAATTTGGGCCTTAATCACTGTCTTAGTCATCTACATGACGGGGTAATGGGAGACTTATTGTTCTTCATTTAATGCTTTGAATGTTCAAAGCTCTACACAGATTAATGTCAATACTTCGTAACAATGTAATTACCATCAACTTCCTTTTCAATAAGGTCCATTCTGCTTGTGACTTCATTCTGTACATTCTCTATGTGGGTCAGGAGATTTAGCTGCCATTGAAGATGTGAATCCACTTGTTCTTCTGATCCTTTTTTTTCATTACAAGCACACACCACATTCCCTTCAGCAGTGTTCTTCTCCATAGGACCAACAAAAATCAACAAAGTTAGCACTTAATAAATGCTTTATTCTCAATTTACCGCTTGGATTCTGGTTTTGATTTCAATACTTGGTACAAATGCCCTGAATGATGGAGTTTTTAATTGTACCACTATTTCACAAAAACAAACATGCATATTGGTATGCAGTTTTTAAGAACATTAGTGGGGAACAACAGCAATACAAATGTCAAACAAATGAGTACATCTAGCTTTCAGGATTACCACAGAGACAGATGACTGTTAGCAGAAAACACGGGAGGTAGTGTTAAATTCACAAGATCTTGTACTCAGTTTAGTGCAATTGGAGTGGCCCACATCTCACCACTCTGCTACATAAACTTCTAACTCTTAATTCATGAAGTGCTGAATGCACCAGTGAGCCATTATCCAATTCAAGCAAGAGTTCAGGATTTTTTTGTGTTTGCTGTCCAATAGAGGATGAAGTGAAAATACAAAAATGGAATTATATCTAAAATCCCAAAGTTCGCCTGTTAAATTTATTTCGAAGTTCATAGCATACGAACAGATTTAAAACAAAAGTACATTCCTTCTTCAGACTACTGTCATCCTGTGTAACTTGCTAACACAGTTAGATCACATGGCTGGAGTATTAAAAGGGGCCACATAATTGTATGACCAGTAACACATGTAGTTATGAGAACTAAAAGCAAATCTAATGGTTTTCTTCCCATGTGTATTATTCCTTAAGAAGCCAGGTACATTCCTGTGAAGCCTCAGGTAATAGCTATGACCAAAGACAGGATACCTGATTTAACAGCTCAATGGGATGAGCTAGAAGAGCAATTCCCATAAATTTATATAAACAGTTGATTTTAATTGTAAAATCCTATAATCCCAGATATACTGAAGCTGTCTGACTATTGGTGATTATTGCATTTCACAGACAGAAATTCAAAGACAGTGCTAGTTTGATAGTACACTTGTTAGTCACTTCAGTGCAAGCCAGCTGCCACAGAAAGGAGTGAACGGTATTATGTATATATTGATAGACCTGTTTGAGAAACCCACATTCTTGACACTATTTTGCATCTGAAAAGTTTTTCCTGCAAAAGTGGCCTGAAATGATTTATTAAACAAAAAAGTTCTCTGCTTGTTTTTCTTAAGCTTTAGAAATATGAATACCACCAAATCTGGACTTCCCAGCTTTTGCTGGGAGGATCTATGAGTGGGTCCTGGAGATGACATACTAGTATTAACACTTGCAAGGGGGACAAGCTACTTAAGAACAAATGACATGTGAGATCAGGGAGGGCATTCTAGCAGTAAGGGGCAGTGCACAAGAAACATTGGTGGAGAAGGATACAAAAAAAACATGATGGAAATATGCAGGGCGGGACAGGGCTTTATAAAGGCTTAAGAGTCAGGAGTGAGGAAACCATGTCAGGGGCTGTCCATAAATGACAGAACATGTTTTGGTGAGACACGGTGGGTGAGGTAGTATCTTTAATGGGACCAACTTCTGTTGGTCAAAGAGAGAAACTTTCAAGCTACACAGAGCTCTTCATTTTTTGGCAATTTTCAAGACCTCCTCCAGCCCCCTGTAACACTTTGTAACACTGAAACAAACCTGCAAAACTAAGGACCCATCCACCCCCAAATGCGTTTTGTAATTTACAAACAATCTATGATGTTTAAGGAGAAACAGAACTAATAAAAGGGGACTCAAAATTGGATATCATCTGAGTGTATGAAAGAGAAGATCGGCAGTAGAACTATGCATAGACTGGAGACATGGAAACAAGAATCTGAAAGGCCAAAGGTTGCAATCGTTTAGGAGGGACACTGCCAAGGCATAGTCAAAGGTTCAAGGAACAAGGGTGGAGAGGAGAGCTGTAGCAAATATAGCTGCTCTTGCATTAGTTCAAAACAGTTACAAATAATTCAAATCGTGTCTCAAGCCAACTTGAAAACAGCTGAAATCAAAATTAGGATAAATGCAAAATGGTTTACACAGGAAATAGGGATGTAAAATCTTAACCGGCTAACCGGTGAGCATTAGTCTTACCGTTACGAAACAGAGGAAGGTCAGGGGTTGATATGTGCCAACAAACAATTTGGAGTCCCAAATGAAAAGTACTCTATGGTGCTGGGAAAGTAGTGGAAAGGAAAGGAAAGGAAAGGAAAGGACTAGCTGACCCAACAGGTTCCCCTTCCTAATAAACAGTAAACAAAAGTCAGTAAAGTCATAGCTGAGATTCCCAAGGAAACCTGAATTCTGCATAAATGGATATATGGATTGTTTTTTCAAGATATGACACTATTCAGCAATATTTCATATTGCTGAATGTGTCCTTACTGCACACACTCAATGTGTAAACTATATTATTTAATAAACAATTTACTCCAAACAAGGTGAACTGGAGTTCTTCATTAAAAAATATAGAACTTATGTACCACCTTTAAAAACAATCTATGTTTGTGACACCAGACTACCAAGAGAAAAAAAAAGTATCTGAATAATTTTTTTAATGGGGGAGACAAGTGGGTGAGTCTAAGTGTTTTATTTATTTTCAAATACTTGGGTATCTCAAAAAGCTTAAAAGGTTTTTTTGTTTTGTTTTAAGAGAGTTTCTAGAGTAAAACCAGACACTTTCAGCCCTCCTGCCCAAAGCAATGGTATCAAGAAGTTACAAGCAACCGAAAACGGATTTAGAGGTGTGGGCACAAACTTTACTATAGCATCACTAATATAAAGCTATAGAAAAATCAGCTCTGTATATATTAGATGGGATTTACATTTCAAAGAACTCTGACTAAAACATTTGTTAGAAATCCTGACATGAGCAGAAACAAGCTTAGTTAATTGTTAACCTATATGACTGAATTCTGGGGGGAAGTTTGGTGTTAAAAGAAAAATACAGACCAACGGTAAATATAATTAGAAATCCAGGTTTTAAAAACTGTTAAGAGACCTAAGGACAACAGAGAGAAACTAACAATTTGCTCTTCAACCAATTTCTTCTGTTACGAGAAAGAAAACAGGTTCCGTTTATACTCCTCATTTTAAATACAGGGAATCTCTCTCAAACCAGTTGAATCTTTCAAAATGCGGGGGGGGGGGGGGGGGGGGGGGGGCGGAAAAAAAAAAAAAAAAGGGGAACCAAAAAAGAAAAGAAAAAAAAAAAAAAAAAAAAAGGGCAACCACAAACTTTCCTTGAATACAAGAAATCTAGATGTACTGGAACAACTTAGTTATATTAAACAGAACAACCTCCCTATAAGCAGAAATCCACTGTAGCTGGGTTTACAAATTTGCAATTAATGAATTAAGAACATAACGGCCATAGTGGGTCAGACCAAAGGTCGATCTAGCCCAGTATCATGTCTTCCGACAGTGGCCAATGCCAGGTGCCCCAGATGGAATGAACAAAACAGGTAATCATCACGTGATCCATCCCGTCGCCCATTCCCAGCTTCTGGCAAACAGAGGCTAGGGACACCATCCCAGCCCATCCTGGCTAATAACTATCGATTGACCTACCCTCCATGAACTTATTTAGCTCTTTTTTGAACCCGGTTATAGTCTTGGCCTTCACAACCACCTCTGGCAAGGAGTTCCACAGGTTAACTGTGTGTTGTGTGAAAAAATACTTCCTTTTGTTTGTTTTAAACCTGCTGCCTATTAATTTTACTTGGTGACTCCTAGGTTCTTGTGTTATGAGAAGCAGTAAATAACAAACACTTACTTTCTCCACATCAGTCATGATTTTATAGACCTCAATCATATCCCCCCTTAGTCATCTCTTTTCCAAGCTGAAAAGTTCCAGTCTTATTAATCTCTCCTCATATGGAAGCCGTTCCATACCCCTAATAATTTTTGTTGCCCTTTTCTGAACCTTTTCCAATTTCAACATATCTTTTTTGAGATGGGGCGACCACATCTGCCTGTAGTATTTAAGATGTGGGCGTACCATAGATTTATAGAGGCAATATGATATTTTCTGTCTTATTATCTATCCCTTTCTTAATGATTCCCAACATTCTGTTCGCCTTTTTGACTGCTGCTGTATATTGAGTGGATGTTTTTAGTGAACTATCCACAAGGACTCCAAGTTCTTTCTTGAGTGGTAACAGCTAATTTAGACCCCATCATTTTATATGTATAGCTGGGTTTATGTTTTCCAATGTGCATTACTTTGCATTTATCAGCACTGAACTGCAACAATCTGAATCCAACCTACTTCACCATAACAAGTTTCACTACATTAAACTTCATTTTAAGTGGGTTGTACTGATCTGTCTGCCTACCAATAGAACACGCATCAGTTGATAATTCAGTAATGGGCATGCATTTCTAACTATTTTATGAGTTTGATCTTTTTTTAAACTCTAAGTCTATACACATGAATAACGAGTTTTACCTGCTCACTCACGCCATCTTCTTTTAAAGAATATTGTGAACAGTTTTTATCATCTGAACAAAATTCCTGATCTTCCTCAAAACTACTCATATCTTCATCATCTGAGCTCACGGGGTCAGTAACTGATTTGCAGTCCTGACCAAAACTCTGTGGTTTCTGGTAACTGTGCTCGCTTATAATATATGTTTCTTCCATCTTCTGCGGTAAGCTAGGGGGTGGTTCTTTATGGCTTTGATTGTGACATGTCCTTTCAGATGGATTAACAGTATCTGGCAAAGTCACTATTTTCTTCTCTACCCCAAATGTCACTTGCTCTTGCTCTTTTCGCACCCCTGAGCAAGCCCAAAGATGAAGATCAGGGTGATGTGTATTTCTGGAAAAAAGGGGAGAAGAAAAGTTAGTATAGAATAATCACTTTCAGCAATGAAATCTTTTAAAACTCTCATTTTGGCTGAACTGTATTTACATTAATAGGCAATTTTTAGGGGAACATCATTGCCAAACGTTTCATCCTGCATTGTTGTGGACCTCTTAATTTTGGGTAAATCCAGTATGCCCTGGTCATCTTTAATAAGTGTGTTATAATAAAACAAAAACGCTAATGCTCCCGAAGTGTCCAATCCTGTCAGGTGCTGAGCACTATCAACTGCCATTGAAATGGAGGGTTTCCATCGCCTGGCATGAGTGGACCAGTAAACTGTACAATGGAAGCATAATTAGAAAATTATACAAAAGAGAATGTTAAACGTTCAGGCCTTTGAAAAAATTACTATATCCCAAATTAGCCAATCACATAACGATTGTTCAGAGACAAAGCACGGTCTACTAGCTAAAGTACAGCAATGGAGATCTGAGCTCTGTTCTGTACTGATTAACTGTTGGATCTTGAGCAAGTAACAACCAATCTGTGACTCAGTTTCCCCTTCTGTAAAATTGGCATAGTAATTCCCAACTTCACACAAATATTTAAGAGAATTAATGTAATACTATTTATTAAGGACTTTGAGATGATTAGATACAGGGGAATAGATTGCAGATGGCAGATTTAGAAGCGCAGACGACTTCATTTCACTTCCAAACTGGATTTCACAGATATTACCACATGCAAATTTTGGATAAAAAATAGTCTTCAGTCTCTTCAAATATTTTTCCTTTGTCTCAGTATTCATCAACAACAGTCAATAATAGGAACACAAATTCACCTTCTAGTGTTTAATGGAGAAAACAATTACATTCCCACTTAGCAATAATTTTTTTTTTTCCCTCAGGCTTTGTCAAGAAGTGCAGACCCTGGATTCCTCCTCACTGAGCTGAGAGGAAGAAGAGGAACCCAGCTTCTGCCCTGTCACAGAGTGAGCTCCAGAATGCATCATCATCTATCCAAACAATTCAAATTGTGCCATGACATTTTCAAGAATACACTGTCTAAATGTGTACTGATATACATCTGTTTGGTCTTTAATATAAAAGTTAAAATGAAAATTATCTTGACATACACACTGAGCTCGCACTTCCTCTATCTAAGGGTACACAGATGGGGAGGAAACACCAGACCCACACTTACTTTAGTATCCCAATCTTCAGCTGCAGTCCATGTAGAATTTCAGTTACACCATACACATCAGCCAGCAGGTGGTGTGTTGACACTATCTTTTTGGCATTAAGGTGAGAGTAGTTTTCTTTTAAAAATGATAATCCACACATATGCCCATTGTTTAACCAGTCCTTATCGTAAAGATATTTGGCACTCCATCTCTGACCTACGGGTAAACAACAATCAGAATTTATTCTCCAGAAGTGACAACAACAGTCAGGAGTGCTATCCTTAAAATATCTTCTGACATCCTTTCTTTAATCATGGGTTTTCAAAGAAATTCACATCACCTCGTATATGACACAGTATATCCTCTGACTTCTATAAATGACATTTTAAAAGAAAATCAAACAAATCAGCTCAGTACTCAAGCGTGAGGAAGTAAAAACATTCTATACCGTGATACACCTATGAACTGAATTTGAAATTAAAGTTTTGAATTAGAATGGTCTTTTCTAAAAAGATATCCGCTTATTGAAAAGATAATTTAAGATACCAAGAACTTAAGATTCAAAGAGAGATGGGACATTTAAATGGATATCAAGAATATCCAGAGTTATGATAATTAACAACAAAAATTTGGAAAAGCCATTAAACCTGGTGCTTCAAAGCAAGACAATCTAACCTTTAGATCAGGATTTACAGCAGGATTCTACACTTTCCTCTGAAATATATCATACTGACCCCTGTCAGAGATAGATATTGGACTAGATGAACCTTGGGTCTGATCGAGTCTGGTGACTTCTGTTTCTAAACCACAAGTATGAGTGAACCCTAAGTAACTTAACTAATCATCTTACTTTTATACCAATTTAATAAATCATAAAAATAATTGTATCCCTAATTATTCCCAGAACTATATAGTACTTTCACTCTGCAACTGTTAAAAATGATTACTCACCTTCTTGTTACTGTTGTTCTTTGTTAAAGGTGTTGTGTGTCCAACATGCTGTAAATATGCGCGTCACAGCAAGGTGTTGGAGTGTTTTCCCTAGTTGTACCTGGAGGGGAGGCCCTGCCCATTCTTTGGCTTCCTCGTTCTCTGAACTGAGGGTATAAAGTCACCCCAACCATCCTTCAGTTCCTTTGCACTGGGATCCCGATTATAGACGCCAGTGCTTGGAGTTTGAGGATGGGCCATGTAATGGACATATGCAACACATCTCAAAGAACAGCAGTTACAGGAAAACGAGTGTCTGCTTTTTCTTCTTTGAGTGCTTGCATACGTCCATTATACTGCTGGTGACCCCCCCAGCCATTGTCATCGATTCCAAGGCCAGAAGGGGTCATTGTGATCATCTAGGTTGACCTCCTGTGTAACACAGGTCATAGAACTTCCCTAACATAATCCCTAGCGCAGATCTTTTAGAAAAACATCCCATCTTGATTTTAAAATGGTCAGTGATGGAGAATCCTCCACATCCCTTGGTAAATTGTTCCAATGGTTAATTACTCTCGCTGCTAAAAATTTACACTTTATTTCTAGTCTGAATTTGTCTAGCTTCAGCTTGTAGCCATTGCATCAGGTTACACCTTTCAGCGGCAGTGTGGCTTGCCAAGTTTATGGAGGGAATGGTATGATGAGATTTCCTACAATGGCATGTAACTGATCTACAACTGCTAACAGCAAATCCCTCTAATGGCCAGTGATGGGACATTACATGGGGAGGGCTCTGATTTACTACAGCAAATACTTTCCCACATGTCTGGCTAGTGGGTCTTGCTCACATGCTCAGGGTTTAACTGACTGCCATATTTGGGATCAGGAAGGAATTTTTCCACAGGTCTGATTGACAGAGACCCTGGGAGTTTCTGCCTTCCTCTGCAGCATGGGGCATGGGTCACTTGCAGGTTTAAACTAGCGTAAATGGTGGATTCTCTGTAACTTGAAGTCTTTAAATCGTGATTTGAGAACTTCAGTAACATAGTCAGAGGTTGAGTCTATTACAGGAGAGGGTGGTTGAGATGTGCAAGAGGTCAGACTAGAATAGATGATCATGATGGCCCCTTCCGGCCTTAAAGTCTACGAGTCTATGAGGAAGCATTGAAGGCTTCCTAGCTATCAGTACCGTGCGATGACATGAAGGTTTAGATATTGTCATGGAGGAGGCAGATGAATGGGGTACTGGACCTGAGACAGATGAGGACGTAACAGACCCTACCGTCAGTACCGATAAGATAAGGAACAGGGCTGGTGGAGGATCTTTGCCCTGAATCAGTGATGATGTCAGTACTGAAAAATACATCTCTCACAGCGGCATAGACCTCTGGTGTTGTCAGACTGGGTCTCTAACATGACCTTTGCCCAAGCACTTTAAACAGTGGAGAGTGCAGATTACTGACAGGCATTGGCAGATAACAGCTGGAGTGGGGCTTAAAAACAGGGGACCTTCACATAGGCTCCCCTGGTACTGGGCAAGTCCCAGAAGCCAGCAGGATCCACAGAAAACAAAATAAAATTGATTAAAGAGAAAAGAAACATCTAAAGGATGAAACAACAAGTATCATTATGTAAAAGCTAACTAACTGCAACTTTGTTCGCAAAGGAACGAGGCTGTAAGCACAGAAATGCTCTCACTACCCATCACAGGAAGGAAGAAGGAACTAAAGGATGAGCAGAGTGGCTCCACTCTTTATACCCTTGGTTCAGAGCGCAAGGAAGCAACGGTGTGGGAGGGGCCGCCCCTACAGGTGCTGCTAGCGAAAACTCTCCAGCTATGGTGCACGAGAAGTACACACACCTGTAGCATAACGGAAATGCACAAGCACTAGAAGAACAAAATTAGATGGAAACTTGCCAGTCCTTACACTAAAATGGTATGCACAGAATTATCTGTGGATAAAAGAACCAGCCTGATGGTAGCCATTAACACCTTCCAGCAAAACACCCTCCATTACCCAGCCCATCCTCCCAATCCAGTGTCAAATGCAGACATCCTGAATGACTCGTCTCCTAGACAGAAAGAAAGGGGCGGGGGGGGGGGGGGGTGGAGTCAGAGGAGGCAGGTGGGAAGGGAGGATTGGGGCCAAACTGTGTCATCACATGAGCAGTTCCAAATATTTTAAAGTCAGTGGCAAACACTAATTTTATATCTTCAAATGCAAAATTCAGTGTCACAGATACACACCAGATTATAAAACTCAAGTGTCTTACAGTTAAAAACATAGGGCTGAATTTTCAAATGTCTGTGCTTAAAGTTAGGCGCCTAAGTCCATAATGGAGGCATCTAAATAAATGGCCTATTTTACAGAGATACTAAGCATCTTCACCTCCCATGGAAGTCAGTGGCAGTTACGAGTACTTATCACCTCTGCAAATTAGCCCACTTATTTAGCTATCCAAGTATACATTTAAATATGTATATTTTGTCCTCCTTTCTCCATCTGAGAAGACTAAACTGTTACATGAATCTCCAGATGGGTGGGGTAGTGGCTATATGTGAATAACTTGCCAGAAAGAACTCTAAACTTCCCTCCAAAAACATGTTTCTGCTCTGAAGAATAACTGTAAACATGGCATTGTGAAGTTATTTTTATTGTTTCAATTACTCCCAGAACAAACATACTCAGGTTACAAGTAAAATGGTTTTCAAATCGCCAGTCCTTGAAACTCCTGCTAAAATCTAAAAATCAAGCTGCGTTTCTTCTGACTTGTGCACCATCATCTACAACAGCAATTCTACAGGTAAAATTCTGCCATTGGTTACACAATGAGGTTGCACAGATGTAACTGAATGCAAAAGTAGTCTGGCAATTTGTGCACGCTCAGAATTCATGTCCAGTGCAGAATGTTTATTTTTCTCCATGGAAAATACATTCTGCCTGAGAAGCACTGCAGTTCCACCTTTCGCCCACCAGAGGTCACTGTTGCGCCAGAACAGACAGCAGCTCGCTGACAGGCAGTAACATCCAGCAGCGATCATCACAGCACTCTACCCACGGAGCCAGGAGGCACGAGATATGTGGAGGGAATACAGAAAGAGTGGGACACATGTGGCTGCTGGGGGGAGAGGGTCACAGACTGGGGTTCAGAAAGGCTAGTGGAGAGACAGACTGGGGTGCGGGCTCAGGAGCTAGTGGGGAGACAGCACTGAGACAGGGACTGAATGGGAGGGGGTGCAGGGCCACTTGGGAACAGGAGGGCTGCAGGTACATATAGGGACAAGGAGCAGGCACACAGGCAGATGTGCCTGACTGAATGGGAGAGGCTAGACTGGGTCTGCATGGGGGAGGCTCCCCAACTCCCTAATAATCCCCCCTGACCTCCTCCCTCCAAAAATAACCCTGTTCCATACTTCTCTCATCCACACCTAACAACCCTCCAGGTTCACTCACAGGCTCCTTCCCTCTCCCTCAGCTCCTACCCCTGACTCCCGCAAGCCTTTAAGGTGCTTCTGAGGGGTGCGGGAAATACATTTCTGTATTGTAGTTTAAATTAATTACTTAAAGTTCTGTATTAATATGCCTACTAAGAAATCTATTTGTAAACAAACAAACAATTTCCTGAATTTTTTTTGGTTTGTATTGTTACAGACATACTTGCTGACAGGTATTTTGAAATAAAATTACTAAAATAATTGAAATTGGCATGATTATATTCTGTTATTTTAACAGTAAAATATGCAGAACTTTGCAGCATTTTAAAATAGTGTGTGTAGAATTTTTAGGTGCAGAATTCCCGCAGAGGTAAAATACATGCAGGGAACAGATTTGGTGACTAGGAAGGTACTATTTTTACACAAGATAGTCACTTTTCAGAGTATAACTGCTCTTTAAGAGCCTACTCTTTGTGGGAGGTAATTTCTCAATAAGAAAAAGAGAGCACTCACTTCTTGTGAACTCATGAGAATGGTAAGTTAACATTTTGAACAAAATTTAAGAATTAGTAACAGAAAAATAAAAGTTGCCACGCAGAACCAAACAGAAGAAAATGTTATAAAAGACTCATCCAGAAAAGTATAACATATCAAACACACAAAAATAGGTAAATCCTATTGTGAGTAATGATTATACAATACCATCTGTTTTTAGCAAAAATGTAACAAATAAAAACAGCAATTAATTTTGCATGAACCAGTGATTTAAGTCATACCTGGTGGGTCCCTGCAGATGTAACAGATGTACTGCTCTGGAATGCTGTCCTCTAATAATCCCATACAGACACTATGTTGCCAGCACAGGCATTCTTCACACTACAATCCAAAAGAAACAAGGTAATTCATTATTTGTAAGTCAGTTCTATTTCCAGCCTGTTCAAAATGCATGGAATAGCAGCTTTCCTTTAGCAGGCGGCTTGAGTTATAGTATCGTACTCATGCAATTTGTATTTGCTGTAGCAAAAACAAGCCATAATTAAGCATAATTTTAGTTTTGAAAGTGACCCCATGGCCACAAATTCCAATCTGGAAAACAAAATCGAGGATTTAACGTCTAACAATATTTTATTATAATAAAATAAGTAATTTAGCACTAAATATTTAATAGCTGAGCATAAAGATACCAGTATAGGACTATGGCAAAATAGAAATATATAGCAATACACTTCTACCCCGATATAACGCAGTCGTGGGGAGCCAAAAATCCCTACCGCATTATAGGTGAAACGCTGTTATATCGGGATAGCGGTGGCAGGGCTCCAGTGGCGATTTAAAGAGCCCGGGGCTCCCTGCAGCAGCCGGAGCCCTGGACCCTTTAAAGCACCACCGGAGCCTCTCTGCTACCGCACTATATGCGAATCCGTGTTATATCGGGTCGCGTTATAGCGGGGTAGAAGTGTATATTATAGCATAACAATGGAAAAGAGAAAACTTCAGTTTTCATTTACAAAGCATCTCTCCAGTGCTTAAGATTTATTTTTAATATTGCACTGATGAAAAAAAATCTAAAAGAAAAAGAAAATGAAGAAAGTGTAGAAATAAAGATAGGAAGGGAGCAATACCAAGGTTACAAGGACATAGCAGCATAAGAATGATTGGCCAGTTGACCTGCGTTGAGACTAGGTGTGGGAAGTATTAAATTGCCAGTTGAATTTAGAAATGGGTAATAAACAAAACATGAATGGAATAGTATTTAATTATGGGGAACTTTTGAAATGAACACTGCTCTATGTTTAAAAAGGGTTGATGCAATATTTAAAGATAAAATGGCTACTGGACAACTTAGGGGACTGGTAATGGATGGAATATAGAGGCTTTCAGCTCAAGGATGCTGCTTCAAATCAAGCCCAGATCAGTCATGACTGCAAACAGCCAATATCCACCTCACCCTTATCATAAATTTAAGCACTAACCAAAATGTTCAGCCTTCTTAACATCTCTAAAATCCATCCTTTCCTTTCTGACCACATGACTACATTACTTGCCCACATCCTAAACATCTACTGCCTTGACTATTGCAGCTTTCTCCCCTCTGGTCTGACACCCATTTTGACCCACCGGTCTATCTAAAAATGCCACAATCAAAGACATCTCTCTCCTACTACTATGACTACATCAACCCTTTTTTCAAGATCTTCCATAGCTCTTCATCATTTTTTATGTTGAGTTCAATCTTCTTGTTCTTTTCTTCAAGGCCCTACATCATTCAGCTCCCACCTATTTATCCAACTTGGTCTCTTCTTGTGTTCCCTGCCAGACATCCACTCCGTTCCAACGGAGCCAGCCTAGATACTACCTTCATGTCCACTGTGTCCTTTTCAATACTGCCCCCATATTCTTCAAATGCTTTCCCAAAATCTATTCACCAAGCCACCGTCTTCGTAAGATTAGCCATACTGGGTGAGACCAATGGCCATCTAGCCTAGTATCCTGTCTTCCAACAGTGGCTGGTGCCAGATGCTTCAGAGGAAATGAACAGGGCAATTATTAAGTGAACCAGCTGCTGTTGTCCACTCTCAGTTTGTGGCAGTTAGAGGTTAAGGGACACCCAGAGCATGGGGTTGTTTTTCTAAACATCTAGGCTAATAGCCATTGATGGACTAATCCCCCATGAATTTAGCTAATTCTTTTTTGAACCCAGTTATACTTTTGGCCTTCGTAACATCCCCTGGCAAGGAGTTCCACAGGTTGGCTGTGCACTGTGTGAAGAAGTACTTCCTTATGTTTGTTTTAAACCTGCTGCGTATTAATTTCATTGGGTGACCCCTGATTCCTGTGTTATGAGAAGGGGTAAATAACATTTCCCTATTCACTTTCTCACACCATTCATGATTTTATAGATGTCTATCATATCCCCCCTTAATCATCTCTTTTCTAAGATGAACTGTCCCAGTCGTTTTAATCTCTCCTCCAATGGAAGTTGTTCCATACCGCCAATCATTTTTGTTGCTCTTCTCTGAATTTTTTCCAATTTTAATATATCACTGCAACTGCCACTACTGTTGGCATATTCAGAGGTGCCAAGGACTGAATGGACACAAACTGTACCAACCTCACTTTTAGAGAGGTGATCCTGCACAGAAAAAATAAGAGGCATTGTGTGAAATGCAAAAAATTTTAACCGCCACCACCTTTTTCTTACCTGTTCTATAGCTAGAGAACTTTAGGGATGCCAAGAGACCAAAAATTCACAAGAAAGATTGCAGAGCAAGTGCATTACCTGAATCATGAAGCCATTTTCCTCATCCATTTCACAGATGCATCTAACAATTTCATTGAGAGCATCCTCTTCATCCTGAGATTCTTCAAAATTGGTTGAATCAAAGTCCTGATTGTATTCATCACCACTTAGTAATAAGCTTTCCGTGGAGGAATCATCTAAGAACTCCACATCCGAGAGGTCTAATAAAAACAAATACATCTGAAGTTGTATATGCAAACAGATTTAACATTGTACATGAATTTAGGACTTAGATGCTGAATGATTCTGCACTACACATAGCGGAAGTCACTCACAGATTTACTGCTGGAAGATTACACTTCTTGGTGACCTCCTACTATATATATAGCAATGCAATGTAGCCACCTTAGAGGTAGGAGTGGCAACATCCAACCAGTGCTCAGCACAATGCAGAACAGCATGAGGAGAGTAAATGTTTTGTTCAATCTGTCATGAAAGTATATACACATTGATTTAACAACATACAACCATAAAAAGTTTCACATTTTTATGCCTAAAGTGAATTATTTGGCTTGCATTTGGCCTTTTTAGTTCACCTTCTTTTGGAAATATAAATTTTAAAACAAAATTTCCTATTGTTCAGCCAACCTACTTTCTCCACTCAGGTCGACAGACAGAATGGCTCTTGGATACTGGTATGAAGTGTTCTTCTCTGTAAACATGCTTCGCAGAGTCAGAGAGCTCCCAGAAGAACGTGTGAGTGGAGAGGAGCACCTTTCCAAAAACTCAAGAGAACTATCTTCATAATCCGAATAATCTACAAAATTAACATGAACATTGGTTATCTCATGTTATAGTACTCAGAAAAAGTATGTTTGTAAAAGTTCACAAGCCCGAGAATGATGATTATGTAAGAAAGTTACATTATGTGCAAAAAAAAAAAAAAATGAATATGCATTAGTGCATAAATACCAAAATAAAGGGAAACATATTAATATCACACAAACCCCTAAACTGTCTTTTTTACGTATGTATCGATGTAAGCGATATTAAGAACATTATGGTTACCAAGTCAAACAGCAGAGTAAAAAAAATTACAAAGTTAAAAATTTCATGCGTGACTTCAACTCTGCCCCTCCTTTATGTACATACACTGCACCAGACTAATTATATAACTTCTTATTTCTCACTTCATACATATCTGAGATTGTGAGAAAGAACCTTGTAAGACTACCAAAAAGAAAGGATATCGCACTATATCCATAATCAGTGTTCTCCAATCAGGGCCGGCTCCAGGCACCAGCTTGTCAAGCAGGTGCTTGGGGCGGCCGCTCAGGAGAGGGCGGCACGTCCAGGTATTTGGCGGCAATTCGGCAGACAGTCCCTCACTCCGCCTGGGAGTGAAGGACCTCCCGCCGAATTGCCGCTGCAGATCGCGATCGCGGCTTTTTTTTTTTTTTTTGGCTGCTTGGGGCGGCCAAAACCCTGGAGCCGGCCCTGTCTCCAATTGATCTTTGACTTTTTGTCAGTTCTTTTCTATCAAACAGTATTGTGTGTAGTGGACACATCTTAGAGGGTTTTCACAAATCATGCCTCATCAGCACCTGGTTCTTCCTTCCTTCCCACTGACAATCAAATAATATCCCTGTGACAACTGCAACAGACTCACATGGAAAATAAAATTAGTAACAATGAATGTTTAACTCCTTCTGATTTGTTCTAGAAATTATGAGCCCCAGTTCTTGAGTTTTTCTTGTTTTGACGTTTGAGAAAAACAGGATCCTTTTTGTCTCACGTTCCTCTCCTGCTTCCCAAATTTCATGCCTAAATCTGTCCAAACGTCTGCTGCTAAGATGATCTTCCTTTTCCAACACACTATGCTTGCCAAATTTTTTTAAATGTTCCCAATTAAGCCATGAACCTGAGGTCTGCTGGAGGGTTATGTGCACATCTCTGCAAATGTTAAGTAATTTTTTTTTAAAAGATGAATACTTAATTTTCAGAGATACAGAACTACACCTTTGTGCGATATTATAAAAACTCACCCCCCAACCCCAACCCCCAATAAACTAGTAATGGGAGAACTTTAAAAAGTTTTGAGGTTTGGATAAATATCCGGTTTTGATGGCTCTCTGAAACAACATAATCCTCCACATGATTTTCAATCCTCTGTTTCCGTCCTACTGCTAACTTCTACAGCATTTCCAGTACATTCTGTACTCTTAAAGTCCTGTTTCCTTCCCCTAGAAGTGACTCTCTCCATCCCTTTTTCTTCCACTTTTATCTCTACTCCCACCCCCTATTCATTCGGTACCTCTCCCCATCCCTGTGTCTGCTGCTGCCACCTTCTCTCCTTTTTCCCTGGAGATCAACTGCAGCACCAACACCACTACCTGGAAGAGCTGAGACAGCAGCTCTACACAGAACAGCTCTGCACAACTGGCCCGAGCCTGCAGCTACAACAGTCATAGGAAACAATACATGGACTGATATTATCCATGCACAGTGAGACTACCTGTCCTAGGACATGGAAGTTAAATAATTGTACTCACTGCTCATTACTCCAACCTTCTCATCTTCCTTTTTAAAGTATTCCACAGCCCTGCTACTACCATCTACAATAGTTCCATGCTGCATGCTTTGTTCAGGCTTCTCTTCTACATTCTCCCTTTCCACCATAATCCACTGTCAATTCTGTGCTTTCTTCCATATCCCCTCTAAGCTTAGGGTAGCCTCCCAGTCAACATTCCCCAAGAACCTTTACTATCCTAAACAGTACCACTCCTAAATACGATCTACTCCTTGAGACCCATGAGCAGTGACAACTGCAATTCTACTGAGTAACTGTGTTAATTGTGTCATCTTCTGTATTGTCTTGAGGTGCTGTGCATTTAGATAGTAACTTTTTTGCCCAGTGTCACCAATGTATAGCAGCATATCCATCTATGGTGTGACAAATAACATTGAAATATATTGTGACAAGGGATTCTTTCTTCTTCATCCTCCTGCACTCTTAGGTGCACAGGGCACCCATCAGTTTCCACCATTTATTTTGGTCTTGTGCGGGTCTGTTCAGGCTTCTGAGTGTCATATTCTTTCTCTATTGTTCTGTGTAAAGTTGCTCTAGGTCGACCTCTTTTTCTCTTTCCAGGTGGTGTCCATATTATCACTAGCAATGGAAGTCATATTGCTGGCATCCTCAAAGCGTATCCAAAATATGTCCATCGTCGTCATCTTACCATATTTGATACTTTAGATTGGTTTGTTCTACTTAGACTTTCTGATGCTGCAAGAATCTCTTTCCAATGGACTCGTAAGATCTTCATCTTCATTTACTTTCAAATGAGATATCTTCTTATCAATTTCTATGGTAGATTTCCATGACTCTGCTTCATTAAAGAGGACGGAATTCATGCTGGTGTTAAAAATTCATGTTTTTAGGTCATTGCCAACCATGCTACTTTTCCAAATCTTTTCAAGTTTATGGAAGATGTTTTCTGCTTTTGACATTCATTGCTTCACATCTAGCCTCAATGACAAAAGCTATCTAGAAATTTGAGTAAACAAAATAAATGTAGAAAATACGTCTGTTTAGTACATCACCTAAATGAAATGGGAAATCTTCATAAACTGTTTTTTCATTTGTCCAACTTACACTCAAGTCATCCTTTCCTATGCAGCATGCATGAATGTTAATCATTCCTCTGTTGCAGATGCCAGAGTATCCTTCTAGTCTTCTCTATTTCACTCACTAGAAATATCTGATAAACTGAAGGTTTCAGCTAACATACATAAGGGTTTTCGAAAATACTTTGCTTTCTATGCTCAGAGGAATACCATGCAACACTTATTCCAATTATAATATCACATTTCCAGAAGATATACTTGTAATTCCAAATCAATAACATGGCTTATTCGGCCTATTCAGTATAACCTGTACAGTACCCAATATAAACTAATACAAGAAGCCAAACTATATTCAGTTTAAATTTGTATCTGACTGCTACAACAGTCATTCTCAAATCTTTCTGTTCAAGTGTATTTGTCATTATTTTGATGATTTTTATGTAAAGCTTGCATATTCATTAGTCATTTTTATTTATGTAAGGTTTTCATTAATACTCTGATCATACTTTCAAAGGGCTGAACAAACAGTGTAATATTGTTTTAAAACTTATTACTCAGAAACTGGTTTAAACTACAAAAAGATCTCCTGGGCGTGTGTTTTGAAATATTGCAACTTAGCTGCTGGTAATGCTCTGACTTTGGCCTTATTCTTAAAACCACATCTGCGGGGAAGTGATAGCACAACTCACCCTGCAGTGCCTTACTGCCTAACAGATGAACTAGTTAGGATTACTAGACTTAACTAAATGACAGGACTTCTGTGAATCTAATATTTAATGTCTCCTTACATGCACATACGGGATCACACCTTTCCCCACATCCAACAATTTGCAGATAACAGAAACTACTGAAAAGTTTATCATTTTAAATTATGTTGACACAGTTAAATGTAGAAAAGTAGCATTAAACTTAATTTAGCTGAAGTGTATACCACATTCTTTGGGACAATTTTCATCATACAGTCTGTGATTTGAATGAATAAGTAAGTGTTTGCTCACTTCAGAAATCTGCAGTTTATCCTTTCGAAAGTCATGGCCAGAAATTGTGATGAACTAGGAAGTGCTTTACAACACTGTTTTGTCACAATTCTGTTTTACTATATATAGCAGCAACAAAGAATAAATGTTAAGAGACATCAACAAAAGCTGTCCCATTACCATCACTCCTCCCCCTCCCCTTTTAAAAAAATATAATTATACAAAAATAGAACCTTCCCCGGCTTTCCCTTTGTTTAGTGTTGCCTGCCTAGGTAGACCGTAACCTCCTCAAGAGCAGGGACTATGTATTCTTCTGTGTCTTGAACAGTGTTAGGTATACCGTCTGTAAACAAAAAGCTGACAAAACAGGAAACGAGACCAAAAATCTTGTGGTGCAGAATGTAAAAAACACACTTGAAACCACATGCGTGTGAGCAGAAGTTTTCACTAAAAATCCTTGTCCTGGGTGCTCTTAAATTATTAATCCCAGAGAGTCTCCAGGAATCTTGTCTGGATTACTCTGAATATTTTAATTAGGAATATTATGACTAACATCTACTAAGGTACACTACAGATTTGTTAGTGAGGTAAATCAATCTGAGGGACATGCCAACGGCAGCCAATAGTTTTTGTTTTCCATTTTACATCTTTTATATTACAGAGAAAAGAAGAGCATATCCCATAAACAAAAAAGCAGCAGAAAGGTAAGAAAAATACATGGTATAATTAAATGGCAAGTCCCAAGACATTTACGGTAAACAGGTATTTTTCACAAAATGGATATCTCGTCACTGGGGTGAAGAAAAGATCAGAGTTTTGGCCATATTATTATTATTTGTATTACCCTAGCACCCAGGACCCCTAGTCATAGACCAGGACCCCATTGTGCTAGGTGCTGTACAAACACAGAACCAAAGGACAGTGCTTGCTAAAAAGAGCTTATAATGTAAGTCTAAGACAAGAGGCAACTGATGGATATAGACAGATGGTGGAGTACAAGGAAACACTGTGACAAAATTGGGCAGCAAGATAAGCAGCGATCTCAGCACATCAGCAGCCTAACCGTTTGTTGCAAGCAGCAAGCAAAAGGAGAGCTTTGAAGGAGGATAACGAGTTGGTTTTGCAGATGTTTATGGGGAAGCTCTTCCCAGCTTGAGGGGCAGAATGGGAGAAAGCACAGAAGTGCTTGTTTGAAAACAATGAGTGGGCTATGAAGGCTGCCATCATGGGCTGATTAGATGCAGAAGTGAACATCTCAATAGTGAATGAGAGATTATACGAGGGTAGGAGCAGGCCATGAAGGGTCTTGAAAATGAAGACAAGTAGCTAATGTTTGATACAACAGAGGAGGGGGAGCCAGTGGTGGAATGCAAAGACACAGGTAACATAGTTAAAGTGACAGGCTAGGAAAATGATCACAGCAGCATTCTGGCTGGATATGAGCAGGGCAAGATTGCATTTGTCAAGGCCAGCGAAAAGGATGTTGCGGTAACTGAGCCGTGAGATGATGAGAGCCTGTATGTAAGTTTCAGTATCAGGATGGATAGGAAAGACTGTATCTTAGAGATGTTATGCAGAAAGATTTGGCAAGATTTAGACACAACCTAAATGTGAAGATAAAAGTAAGCAGTGAGATAGTCAGGGATGGATGTGAAAGAGGCTGAGATGCAGAACTGAGTGGAGGGAGGCTGGAGTGGAGAAGTGTATCTACATGTCATTGGTGTAAGAATAGTAGCTAAAGCCATGAGTAGACATGATCACTCAGAGACGGGATATAAGGGGAGAAGGAGAGGAGATACCAGATCAAAATGCCTTTGCTATGTGAAATTTCAAGACCAACATCTCCTTTTGGTAATTTCTGATATTTCAGAACTTGTTTCTGAACTATATGAATGTTCGATATTTCAGTCAGTAACAACCACCAATCAGAACCAGAAAGATAGTATTTGATCTTTACTTTTTGTCTTAACTTTTCTGTCTTTACTTTCTTCCTTACTGAACTCACCATGCTGTTTAGATTTCTTCTTCTTTTTCTTCTTCTTCTTCTGTTTTGATTTATGATCTTTTTCCTTTTTCTCTTTTTTCTCTTTCTCTTTTTCCTTCTTTTTACCTAATTGCAAATGAACATTTTAAAACATCATCCTCGAATACTTTTTTCTTTCAGTTACCCTAAAAGCAACATTTAAATTTTAAATCAGTTGTTCCAGTCACCTGCCAAGAGCGGAATGATTCAATTAATTTGTTCAGTGCCATGAGTATAGCCCTTGTGATTAACTGATTTTTGGAATAGCACTGGAGTTCCTCCTTAGCTGAGACACCTTGAAGTTAACAGTTATTAGTGAGACTCTTCCTAGCAGAGTAACATAATTCAGCTTCTCAGTGTCAAGAAGTCAACTGTATCCCATATCTTGACAGGTAACATTGTGTAGCCTTCAGAATTTCCAGATGTGACCCGCACATGAGGAAAAAAAAAAAGACCCAGTTTTAATAAAGCTTACATTTAAAAAAAATGTATATTTAAAAAATACATCAGTAGTACATCCATTAGTTTGTAAGAAACAGAGTAGACAACCCATTTACTTTCCAGGTTTTGATCATGCTGTAGAAACAGGGAAGATGAGAACAGGAAGAACTCTTAATTTAAAAAATTACATCCTCTAGCAAAGCATGCTAGGTGATCTCATATAGAGATTAATGATAAACACCTGAAACTGCAGCTGCCATAAATTCCTTTAAGAACAGTTAGCTGTCCTCTCACCCAAAATTTTATCAGCAGAGTTTGTTCTGAATAAAATTAAAGTTATATGTCTACTCCTTTTTAAGTACTACTGACATCTGCATGAGAAGGGAGTCTTTGTCTTGCAATAATTCATCTGTCCCTGCTACGTGTTTCTCATGGGAAACCATAATCCACAGCTTCTAACTTCATAGTTATTTCCAAAGCAGTCAGTTGTGAGGTAATAAAGAGGGACTTGACTTCAGCTGGAAAATAAACCTCAAGGACTGACTCGAAGATAATACTCTTTTTTGTGTACATTTCCCTTAGCCACACAGAATAAGAGCAGATATAGTGAATGTTTCAATTAGAGCTAATTGGGCTTGTTTCTATTCCTTCTTTCCTTCCATAGATTGATGATCAGTTCAGACACATGTAGGGCTGAATCTGTGTCAAAAATAAATTTGTTTGGGGATGGAAAATAGTGAATTGTGGCAAAAGTGAAATTTTTTGAATGAGTCGTTATCTGACCATCACTAATATTTGAAGAATGAATACTCCAAACTTCCTTCATTTAGATTTCATTTTAAGAGGCATTGCATATTCTGTTGGATATCTAGCCATTAGACTTTTCCTTTATTTATTCCACCTCTAGACACAAGTTAATAACCACACATACCACTAATTTAATTGAAAAAGGTTATAAAGGGTACCCTATCATTATTCCTTTCCTCTTAGGCCTCATGCCCCACCCAGTTGGTCTAGGAATGGAGACATGAAATTATAGCCCTACTATTACTATGGGTCTTGTCCCTCTGTGTCCTTGCAATTTACACACAATCTCTTAGGCATATACTGTCACACAAGTTTATTTATTTCCAAGAAGCCCTTTTACATCTAATTAGGTGTTTGGGTTTCAGGTTTTTTGTTTTTTAAAAGCTGGTTGCTTTAGAAATATTAAAACAGCTGAACACTTACACCTAAAAGAGCATAACAGGTAAAAAGTTAGGGACAGGCTATGTTCTTGCTCTCTCAAGCTTTAGACTTTTTGCTTAAATATGATTTTCTGTGCATACCAAATGATGATGAGCTTTTCTCTTCCAATTTCACTTTTTTTTCAGTTTTCAATATACCTGTAGATTTAAGAAAAACACAAAAGCTTAGTGGGACCACTGCGGACAATGTACTTTCTTGTAAAAGTTACTTGGTTGTAAACATTCCTATCAATACATAATTAAAAGAAAGACACAAGTAACACACTGATTTTTAAAGATGCTTTACAATTACTTTTACGGTCTTAAGCACTGGAAACAAAAAGCATTGTAGTTTACCAACTTCTGAATGCTTGTCCTTCTCAATGACCTTCTTTAACATTTTCTCCTGCAGATTCTCAAAACATTTCTCCTTTACAGGCACAGAGAACTGTATCTCTGTCCCTTCAGAGCTGACTGACGTGGAGGACCTCTTTTTTTTACTATTCCCTTTGGGTAACTTTAGACTATTGGTTAAAGGCATTTCCAGATGTAAGGCATGTACATGGGACGAGGGTGCTGAAAACAAGAAGACAAATTTACTGGGCATTCAGTAAGGATTTAATCCTGTGTATCAGCATAGCAGCCAGGTCACTGGCTGAGTCAGGCTGCTGAAATGACAAGTACAGGAAATATTTTCATAATAGTGAACATATTGTTAAGTTTTGAATGCCTAGATCTCTGTCTTACTATTTACTAAATGCTACATGCCAAAAAAAAAAAAAAAAAAAAAAGTCTGTTCTCTCTAGTTTAAAAAAAAAAAAAAAAAAAGAGAGAGAGATATCAATTCCAAACAGAGAGGTTAATTTCAATTTAATTCTCTGCTGCTTTAGACAATTTCCCCCCCCTTTTCTTCTCTTTCCATTACAGTGGAAGTCACTGGTAACAGTCAAGGAGTTGATGTTACCATAGTTAATTAACTGTGTCTTATTTTGAAGTGATAGCTATCTTTAATAGATTTTAGGGTTACAATGCTACTTATTAAAAAACCATTTGGCTCAATAAAAAGTCTACAAGATCAAAGTTTATTGCATTCAGGAGGTTTTTTTTTTTTTTTTAATGGTATTCTACCTCTAATCTAATAGAATTTCATTAGGTTACCTCTAGAAATCAGTGTCCTTTTAAAATCTGAATCTAAGGAAAATAAATTTGAAGTATATGTAAAGCAGAAAGCTTTATGTATAAATCAGACTTTGAAGCTACACTTGCATATGAAGAGTGCTTTGAAAGATTTACTAATCCTTGATTATTCCCTAAAGTTCTCATTATTTAGAAGATTTTCTCTTCATTGTGAGCTAGGAAATCATAAGGTAACTAACTGACCAGAAATGAAAAAATATTTTAATATTGTAACGCCGATATTTATAATCAAATACCATCACAGCAATTTTCAAATAATCAAACCAAATAAGACCCAAAGTTATTTTGATCTAAAGAGGATAACTATTTTACTCTCTGCCACAGGGAAAAAACACGTTGCTCAATAAAGAATTACCAGCATCACCTAGATCTCCCACCAACCTTACTAGCCAATGCAGTGCAAGCTCTAAGTCTCTTTCCTAATTACACAGCAGGAAAGCTCTAGAAGTAGTCTAAGGCCTCTCTGGCCAATGCTGCAAAATATTAAGGAAAATATAGCCTTACAAAATTAGGAGGAGGTATCTGGGTTTTTTAAACATTTAAAAATCCATTTGTCATCCTTTTCAGTTTAACAATCACTCTCACAAGAGTAGCTTGACACAATTTGTGGTTAGGATCCTCTGATGCTGAGGTTAGCACAGTAACAGCTGATTAGGTGTTTAAATCACTAAAAGAGTAAAGTTTGTGTGTACATATTCTGGTAATATTTCAGGCCAAGTTTTTCCAAAAGTTATTAGTGATTTTGGATATCCAATTTAAAACACTAAATGGGACCCAATTTTCAAAAGGCAGGTACTCAGCACTTTCTGAAAAAATCAGGTACCATTATGGTGTCTCAAAAGTTGGGCCCCCCAAAATTGCATTCAAAATCCTTAATCGCATCTAAAAATCTTGGTGTCTGACAATAATGCAAAAGATTAACCCTGCAGAAAACCTTAAAGCAGCCAGAACCACTACCTTTAAACTGAATATGATCCAAATAAAGAGGAGGTTCTTTTGGGGTTCTTTGAAGTCCCCTTTTATAGATGTCATTACCATAAAAGAAAAAACAAACATTTTAAGAAATTAAAAACAGAATTAAGAAAACGGTGTGAATTTAGTGCTCATGGAAAGCGATGGATTGAGAGGCCTGAAAATCAAAAGTCCTATACTTAACAAAAAGGACTCGGTACAGAAAGCGGTAATGCTCTGGGGATGCGTATGCAGAGAGAGAGCACAGAGCCTCCTCCTGGGCTAGTTTTCCCTCGCCAGACAGAGCACCATACACGTCACATCAGCTTCCCCCTAGCACTCCAGCTCCTGAGAAGCCTCTTCCCTCAAGCAGTAGCCAAGGAACTTCACCGTAATCAGGCAGCAGGAGCAGCTAGGGGACTGGTACGCAAAGCAGCAGAACTACCCAACACAGAGGTTACTCCATGGTGGACTTTCCAAGCTGTCTGACGTAAAGGCAGCTTCAGATCCCACTCCCCATCATGCAGCCTGGCCAGCAGCTGAAAGCAGCTACTTCTACTGGGTAGAGGGAAGGAGCCAAAGTGCCTCACGGTCTCAGGTGATTGGTTGGAGGTGTTTTCTCCAGGTGGTGTTGTTAAGCCCCATGCAATAGCTTGAGCAGACTATTCCTGATGCCCAATACCCTCTCAACACAGGCCCCAGCCTGAGCACTGTGTGAACTATTTCCTCCTCTGGGCTTCCCAGCTTCTGTGTCTGTCTTGTAGGACTGTAAAGCGCTGCAGGACAGCGACCGTCTTCATTTTGTGTTTTTACAGAGCCAGCAGCACATTGTCAGCACATAACAAATATTAAGCAACAACTTCCCACACTGCATTCTACCAGCAGGCTTCACCCTAACCTGCAAGGGCCACCTCTAGAGATGGAAGCTTATTTTTTAGTATTCTATGGACAATCAATACTTGGCCTCTCTGTCAAGGCTAACAAAGGTTCCGATTAGTGCTAATGTGGTGGACATGCTGCTACTTTTTTTTTTTTTTTTTTTGGTTATGTGGGCATGCGTACTGTAGAAACTAAACAGACCACGTAACACCACACATCAGATAATCTGGTTAGGCCACTACTATCTTCAGACAGGACATTGAGGGCTCCATATCTGAACAGTCCATTGAATAATCTAGTCCCAAGCCATCTTCCCAAAACAGGATTAGGTTTAAACTCGTTATTTAAAAACAATTTTCTTATGTCAGCCATACAAACCCATCACATGTCATTATTCCGAACATTACCTTAATTTTCAACATCTTGAAATTAGACCATTAAAGCTTAAATACCACCTAACAAACTAATCAGCTGGTGACTAAGAAAGTGGTGGCTGATGGCTCCAGGAGGTATATTTTATAGAAAGAATTCTGCTACAGTGACACTAATACCCTTTCAAATAATTTACCAATGTAAGCTCCATCACTATAGTAACAGGAAAGGAGAAGATAACACATACAGTTACACTTTTCCTAGTAAGCAACTTTATCTAGTCTTCATTTAGAGGTACATAAGAGGAAGTGGATAATCATATGAAATAGAAGCCTAGATATACTTCCTATTAATAATCACAACACGTTTTGAAAATTATAATTTCATTTGTACCTAAATAAATGCTATTTCATAAACCTGATATTTTAACTTCAAATGTGTAAGTTATCATACCTTATAAAATAAAATGTTGATTTACACTAAATAGCCATAAAATTAAGTAAGAGGTGATCATTCAGAGCCTTTTAAACCAATATAACCAACAGAGCAATATCGTTCATAATTTAATAATTTGTATAAACTAAATACTGATAAAAATGAAACATGGTAGTGACTCTGTAAAGGAGTTTTTAATTGACACTTGTTTCCTGTTGAGGTAACCAGATATGACCTCCTACCCACACACAGCAGCAGTGTGGGAATCTATGCAGGAAGTGCTATGCATGCTGTGTGTTGTGTGTGTACACCAAAGACACTGAAGGACCAGATGTGAGCAATTGATGTCTACATCATTACCTCTAAGGTGAGTTTTGAAACCTCCATGAGATAATGGAAAGACTGATTTCAGCTCAAATATATGTGGACTACATAGTTAAAGCAGCATAGATCCTCAAGTGCAAATACATGTATATTGGTATAAAATAGCTTATTCTAGTAAAACCTATTCCAGTTTGGCAATGCCCAAGAAGCTATACCACTATTAAGTGTTTTATACTGGTATAACACTGTCTACTCTAGGGTTTTTACCAGAATAACTAGGGCAGTTAAAAAAAAAAAAATCACATCCCTTAACATTGTAATACCTTTAAGCATAGATAATCCCAGTATAGTCAGGGCTTTCCTAAAAAATATGGATTTTGTTTTTTTCATTTTTGGAGCTTCTGCACTCAGAAGTATTTACATGAAAATATATTTTCAAATATATATCATGGACATTTTAATTTCAATCTGTGCATGAAAACTCACTCTTCTAAAAGTTTAGAGTGATGAGAACATTAAGGTTCTTGTTTGCCTATTAGGAAACAGAAGAACTCCACAAAACTGCCTGGAACCCTACAGGGGACAAGCAATGGCAGAAATCATTAGAGACAAGGGCATGACTAGCGATTGGAATGAACTCTCAATGAATGAAGACAGGGGTGTAGACGGATCTGTGAACTGCTGGGAGGCTTGGTTTGCTAGTACTGTGTCAGGAAACTTCTGAAAAACTGGGTAGATGAGAACACTGATAATTCAATATACAGAAATGACTAGCTACTGAGTTACTGGAATCAAGCGATCAAAATTATCAATGAATGAATTCATCTGACATGTCTAATCTTGAAGAACATGGTAGAAAACAAGGGACTGAATGGACTGGATCATTAAAAATAGATAATTGTGTTAAAGTATAAACACTGTCAAGAGTTGTTAAATAGCAAAATAGGAAGACTGCATGTTGATATTTGCATTTAATTTCCATAATCATGTAAAATTTGCGGAGTATAAGGAGGTTTTTGATCAAAACAAAGCCTGTATTTTACACAGGAAACCTACAATGAAGCACTAATGGTACAAATGCAATAGCTTTCAGAGGGACTTAACAGTTTACAGGCTGTCCGTGGATACTTGTGTCAGTCTCATTGGAGAGCAGACTTGTTTTAACTCACAAGAACGAAAGACAAATTTGGAAAAATAATTCTGATAAAACTATACACCTTTTCCATTACTTAGTCAACATAACTCCTAACTACAACTTTAGGCTGAGCCCAGAACAAGAAGCAGCAGCTGAGATCCAGAAGCTAAAAATGTAACATTGAATTCCCTCCTTGCACTTAAAACTGAAGATACTGTTCGCTACTCCAAAGAAGAAGGTGGTTCTGTTTCAGTTAGTGGCATCAAAATGGTGGAAAACTGTG